TTCTTACTAGTTAAGTGAAATTGCTACTTGGGTTTAAGAAGATTTCAGGGGATAATTTTGGTTAAAGGTTTAAACACGATCTCAGGGCAATAATTTCAGGGATTCATCCACCCTCCATAGCTCCAGAAAGCCTGGAGTCCATGAGATTTTGACATTCTGTTGTGCCTTTTTCCCCTTTTGATCAGGATTGTTCTATGGAATCTTTGATTACAATGATCAGCAATGGCAGACAAGCACCACTCAATTCTTCTGATCATGTGGCAAAGGAGGCATTTGTTCATGGAGACAGTTAGTCACACATTCCAAATCCTCCTCCTACTCCTCACTCTCTTTCTTCCTCTCTTGATCAGGTGAATAATTATTATGCCTTGGATTTCTGCTTCCAATCTTTTAAGACCCCAGGTGCTTGCTATGCAACAAACTAGGAGACAGAACAGAAGCACTAAACATGTTATTAGGCCAATTACCTGAGATATCCCATGAGCCATTACCCTAAACCTCCACACCAAGGAACCAAATCTCACGAGGTGTTTGGTTGTATGTAAGCAGCCTCAGCAGCTAGTCTTTGTTGTTGTTGTTGTTGTAAATATATCTATCACACAACTTTTGCCAATTCAGCATTTTAAATATGCATGTTGTTGTTGTTGTTGTTGTTATGTGCCGTCGAGTCAAACCCGACTCATAGTGACCCCTCCTTGGGTTTCCAAGGCAGTATCACTACAGAAGTAGGATTGCCCAACCTTCCTTCCGAGGAGTGGCTGGTGGGTTTGAACCACCAGCCAAGTGTCTTAGCCACTATGCTACCAGAGCACCCTTAAATATGCATAGCAATTAAAATAGGCTGTGCAACCCTACCCTTAATCAACATGATATTTCCATCACTATTAATTTTTCCTTTCCCCCTCCCTCCTGTCCCTGGTAACTGTATTCTCTATACATTTGCTTTTTCTTATATATATTTGTAATTGTGTATCTTTGTTGTCTGTACTTCTTGTGCACCTCTCTGTGCCTTCCTTTTCCTTAGTGTTATTGGGTTGCTCACTCACTTTTGGTATATTGCCTTTTCCTTCACCAAATCAATACTTGTCTTTTTCTTATATATTTATAAAAGTGAGAGCATATGATATTTGTCCTTTTGTGGTTGATGTATTTCACTCAGCATAATGTCTTCCAGCTCCATGCACACTGTAGCATGTATCAAGACTTCATTTCTTCTACTGGCTGAGTAGTATTCCATTGTATGCATGTATCACTTTGTTTATCCAACTGTTGATGCACATTTAAGTTGTGTCTACCTTTGGCTATTGTGAATATATGCAATGAGCATTGGTATATATAAGACTCTCTTTGAGATTCGGCTTTCAAGTCTTTTGGAAGTGCATTTTGCTCTCTTAACAACTATCTGTCTGGGATCAAACTGACAACAGTAATTCAAAAGATTAGATAGGAAACTTATGGGGCAGTGAGTTTATGTTAATGAGTGTAATAGTTGGAGCTGTGTGTCAACTTGGCTGGACCACAATTCTGTGTGGTTTAAGCAATTGTGATATGGGTTGTTCCCATGATGGGATCAGATGTATATGTTTTGAGCAGCCAATCCATTGAAAGGGAGTTTCCCTAGGGGTGTGGCTTGCTTCCAGTATATTTATGGACATCCTGGCAAATGAGACACTCTTCTGTGGATCAGGATTCAGTTGTTCTGTCTACAACTGTCCGTAAATGAGCAATCCACCATTTGGCCTGGAGGTTTTGGATTCATCATTCGTTGGAGTCAACAGCCAGTATACTGCTGTCCAACTTTGAGCTCCTCAGCCCCTGCAGCTGCTTGAGTTGGGAAAAGACTCCAGCTTGATGTTTGATCCAGGAACTTGGGACTTGCCAGCTTCTATAAGTGTGTGAGCCATTTTCCTAAGATAAATTTCTTTTTCTCTCTCTCTGTATATAAGCTTCACTAGTCTCGCCTCTCTAGAGAACCTAGTCTAAGAAAATGAGGGAGGAAAAACTCACAAAAAGAAGGTAAGAATGGCTACACAACTCAAAGAATGTCACCAATGTCTCTAAATTATACATGTAGAAATGGTCTATTTTGCTATGTAAATTCTCAAAATCAACAAAATTTTAAAAATAATAATAATCCACTATATAAACAGAAAGGAGCTCTGGTGGCACAGTGCCTAAGGCATTTGACTACTAACTAGAAGGTTTGTGGGTCAAACCACCAGCTAGCTGCTCCATGGAAGGTAGATGAGGCAATCTACTTCTGTAAAGATTTACACCTTGGAAACCCACTGGGGGTTTCCATGAGTCAGAATCTACTCAATGGCAATGGGTTTGTGTTTGTTTTTTTATATGAAAGAGAACCACCAGAATGAATTTACAGAAAATGTTGACACATTGTGGAAAATGTAACTTATGTCACTGAACAATTTGTGTAGGAATTGTCACATGGGAATTTATTTTGCTGTGTAAACTTTGACTGAAAACACAATATTATTTTTTAAAAAATAAGAAAAAGATACATGACTATCATGTAATTCCTAACATAAAACTGTTTAAGATGCTTCGATTCCCAAAAGACTTTCTATAAAGGTGGGTAAATGTTCTTTAGATTCAGAAAAAGCTCCACAATTTAGGCAAATGTAATAATGCATTAAAACTTTGACAAAGGGGCAGGGAAGCCACATCTTCTGACCTTCTCTAACCCCACAAGAAGAGGACAGAATCACCATCAATAGCCCAAGGCTTATTCCTGTAAGGCCAGAGATACTGCCTCCCTCCAGCCCTTTCATCAAACCTAACGCCAACCGTTCCTCCAGCAGCACCCACAACCTCTCTGCTGGGTTTGATAATTCGCTGCAGTGGCCACACAGAACTCACAGATTATGGGGCTTATTAGGGAAGCACCAGGTTACAATTCAAGTTCAGGAACAACACTCAGTCTCTCTCAGCCTGCTGTCTCTCAGCCAACAGTCTCTCTGTCTCTCTCCCAGCAGGGCATGTCTCTCGGTGTCTCTTTCTCAGCAGTGCATCTCTCTCAGGAGTGTGCTTATCTCAGCAGCACATCTTTCTCAGCCAGCAGTCAGAAAGACTCCTTCTGCCTCTAGGAGAGCTCCTTTTGAGCCTGGCAGAGTGGCCAAACTAACCAAGCATAACACCAGAATTCTAAGCACCTGAGAGAAAGCAAACTTCCCAGAACATTGCCTTGTGCAGCTCTCAACAGAAATACCCCAGGTAGGTAAATTTAACAACCAGGAGCTCCTCAGTTGCTCATGGCAAATTTCACCATAGAGTTTAAAGAGACTTATGCCTAAAAAAGCTATACCAGGTAATTTACTACACTGCAAACGTGGTTGTCCAGGGGTCATATACTTAAACTTATATTTTTAAACAATTAAATATCTAGCATCAGTTGAAATTTTTACAAAGGAATTCAAAATCCCCCCAGTGATCATATAACCTATGGATAGCCAAATACTGGCATATGTGCCCCTAGTTGCTGAGGAGTTGACTTCAACTCAGGGTGACTCCATGTGTGTCAGGGTAGAATTGTGCTCCATGGTTTACAATGGCTGATTTTTTTGAAGGAGATTGACAGGCCTTTTTTCTGATGTACCTCTGGGTGGACTTGAAGCTTCAACCTTTCAGTTAGTGTCAAGTGCATTAACTGTTCGCACCATACAAGGACTCCTACTTGAGCAGACACTTAATAATGGCTCTTTTTCTCTGAATCATGATGCTCAGGAAAACACACCAGGCCATGACTACCATTCACTGAAGATGGCAAATGAAATAAAACCCATTTGCTCTCCGTGAAGCCCAACCTACCACCATGAAAAGATCTTCAGGGCCTCATCCCTTCATTATATTCCACACACCTATTTATCTATATTTACCACTAGAGAGAAAAGGACCACTGGTTAAGCTCCCAAATTTACTTGCCATATAAAGGCGATGCAGAAAATTTTGACAAATTCTTAAAGACACTAGAAAACATGGGTTTAGAAAAAAACTGTTGTTGTTGTTATGTGCTGTCATGTCAGACCCAACTCATAGTGACCCTTCCTTGAGTTTCTGAAGCAGTATCACTACGGAAGTAGATTGCCCAACCTTCCTTCGGAGCAGTGGCTGGTGGGTTTGAATTGCCAGCATTCTAGTTAGCAGTCAAGTGCCTTAGGCACTACACTACCAGAGCTCCTGGAAAAATACTAGAATGTGGTTTTTATTCATCTCCGTAAAAGGGTATCTTGAGGTGTTTTTTCACTGTGGGCTTTGTGGTTTGTTGTTGGGTTTTGTTTAATTTTAGGGGTGTGTGGATAAGGACTGAAAATTGCAGTGTGTCACAAATATTTACCTTTTCTGCTTGATTCTCATTAAAGAGCCATATATGTTTATATATTTACATTATATACAATTCCTTGGAGGAGGAGAGAACTAACTGAACTGCTGAGGCTTTTGTAAATCTCTGAGGTGTTAGATTTTAATGTTGCAGAGTGTTATTAAACATCAGCAGGGATTTTACAGGCAAGATGGAATCATCAACCTTACAAAGTTCCATCTAGCTTATATGTGCCTCTAGTTCAGTATGTTTATTTACTACTACCCTAAATATAATGGATATTTTCTTTTCTAGGAGTGTTGGTAGTGCCTAAGGCATTTGACTGCTAACCAGAAGGCTGGCAGTTCAAACCACCAGTATAGGAGCCTATACTCCTTGGAAGGAAGATTGGGCAATCTACTTCCGTAGAGATACTGCCTGGGAAACCCAAGGAAGGGTCGCTATGAGTTGGATCCAACTCTGTGGCAGTGAGTTTTTTTTTTGTTTGTTTGTTTCTTTTCTTTCTCTTGCACTATGTTTTCCACAGGTACATATATTACATAACTTACATAGCTGTAACACTCATTTTTCAACATGAAATCAACTTTCTAATTTGTGCCAAAATACATTAAAATTTCAGCAATCCACAAAACATGCAACTACTTGAAATATGAGCTACTCTTACCATGGCATAGCATCCATCCGTTGTCAAGATCAAAACATCTATTGGAGAGGTATGGTTAGCAACACAAATGCCTCCTTTCTGGGGTCTGTGCTGCCTGCAAGCACAAAACTGGTAACTATTAGACCATGAAAAGTGGCCACAATTTTGCATAACAGCATATAGAGACATTCTATTTTGTCTTAAAAAGTACATTAAAAAAATAGAGTTTGAGAAAACAGTTTGGAGGTTCCTCAAGAAGTTAAACATAAAGTTACCACAACCAGAACCAAACTCACTGCCATTGAGCCAATTCCGACTCATGGCGACCACCTTAGGGTTTCCGAGGTAGTAAATCTTTATGGAAGTAGATTGCCCAGTCTTCTTTCCATAGAGTGGCTGGAGGGTTTGAACTGCCAACCTTCTGGTTAGCAGTCAAATGCCTCAGGCATTATGTCACCAGAGTTACCATATGACCTAGCAATTCCACTCCTACATATGTACTCAAATATTTGCAAGTAAGGACACAAACAGATACTTGTAGACCAATGTTCATGGCAGCATTAATCACAATAGCAAAAGATGGAAACAACCCAAGTGTCATCAACAGACGGATAAACAAAATGGAGTAGGAATATACAATGGAGAATTATTCTGTCGTAAAGAGAAATAAAGTTCTGATACATGCAATGACATGGATGAGTTATGAAAACATTATGTTAAGTGAAATATATCAGACATAAAAGGACAAATGCTCTATGATCTCACTTATATGAAATATCCAAATTAGGCAAATGCAAAGAGACAAAAAGTTTATTAGTGGTTACTGGAGGAAAGGAGAATGGAAAGTTATTACTTAAGGGGCATTGAGTTTTATTTGTGGTGTTGGAAAACTTTTAGAGATATTGGTAATGACAACATGGTGAGTGTAATTAATGTCACTGAATTGTACACTTAAAATGGTTAAAATGGCAAATATTTTCTTATGTTTATTTTGTCACAATAAAAAATTTTTAAATAACATAAATAAAGCTTGGAAGTATATAGGCCTATCTTAAGAATGGTTACATCTAGACAGTATAAGGAGAGTGGGTAAGAGTATGGGAGACGGAGACCACACCTTTCCTTATATGTATGTATGTATGTATGTATATATATATGTCTTTTTTTTCTGGTAATGATCATGTTTTCCTTTTATAATGAAAAAAATTTGAAGTATTAGAGTTAATTATAAAGATTCTATATCTTCAGCTACAAATTTTGTAAACTGTAAGTTTCTTTTATTTTATCATAAATATTTTCATATTACTTCATCCTTCATAAGCATCCCTTTTAATTGGCTTCATGGTGGTCCACAGAATAAATTCAACATAGTTCTCTCATTCATCCTGCTCTAGCAGGGGAAGTTAACTTTTTCTGTCAAGGATCAGATAGTAAATATTTTTTGGCAGGTCACATGACCCCTGTTACAACTAATCAATTCAACTGTATTAAATGTAAATAAATGAACATGTCTGTCTGCCAACAAAACTTTAAAAAAACAGGTGGCAGATATAGTTTAGTTTGCCAACCCTGTCCTAGAGGTAGGCCAGAATTTTACAGCAATGAAGCAAAGTAGTTTTCTTTGAGCCTGTACAAAGAAGAAACAAACCAAATTAAAAAAAATAATAATAACTTTAGCATGGTTACCTTAAAATTAGAAGTGATTCTGTAAGTTATGAGCTTCTCTGCCCATAATTAAATCACTTTTTCTGAAGGTGTTTCCTCTGATAACACATCTACCAGAGCATTTTCTGCTATTGTTCATTCCCAAACTCAGAGTGCAACCACAAATTCGTGTAATTTTAGAATTTTAAGGATCCTTGATCATGTGGTTGTTATTAGCGGCCATCAAGGTGGCCACCTGACTCATAACAACCCTATAAATAACAACAAAATGCTGCCTAGTGCTGTGTCATCCCTGTGAATGGTTGCAGGTCATACTGTTGGGATCCATAGAGTTTTCTTTGGCTGATTTTTGGAAGTAGATCTCCTGGCCTTTCCTCGATGTCCATCTGTGTCTGAAAGCTCCATTAACACTTGTCCATCATCACAGCACCACACAAGCCTCCACCGACAGATGGGTGGTGGCTGTACATCAGGTGCACTGGACAGGAATCAGATCCAGGTGTCCCGCACGGAAGGCAAGGACTCTACCACTGAACCACTGCTGTCCTCCCTCCTGAATGGCTGGAGCCCAAGATAAAGCCAAATGCTGAAATGTTTCCTTCTACTAATGAAACATGAAGACTTAATGAGTTAAAAAAAGAAAAAGATTTGAGCTTTTAAAACAATGTAAGAGAAAATACAATTGAGTTAACAGAAAAGTAAATAAAAAACAATTAAAACCAGTTTCACTTAGCTAGTAACTTTACATAGCTATGCTTAATCTCTATGATTGGATGTGAGAGAAGTAGAATGTAGTGTTTTGTTTTAAGGGTCAGTGATGGACTTTTAGAACTGACAGGTCTGAGACTAGCATGAAATAAAATTTTAAGTTTTGCTTTATGAGAACCAAGAGTTCTCTTACCACGAACACTAAAGGTCATATTATGTGCTGCACAATCATGGATATATAATTTTAATGCCTAGCACTATGCCTTAATCTATAACTAATCTCCAGAGCACCTTGTCTTGTTTCATATAATTTTATATAGGTGATCAGTCTCAGTGAAATACTTGAAACTTATTCTTTCAGAAAACAGTTGAAGATTAATGACCACATTCTGTTTCCAAGACTTCGGAGGTCTTAAAACACTGGTTCACTGATATTCTGATTATCCTAGAAAGGTTTCTATTGAAGCTTTCATAATGTTTAAGTACAACTGCTCTCTTAATAAGGCTTATATATTCTGACATAATAATCAACAATTTTTTTTTGTTCAAAGTTTCTCATAATATTGTCTATACTAACTCACTCACCGCCATCGAGTCAGATCTGACTCCTATTGACCCCTTCTTGGGTTTCTGAGGCGGTATATCTACAGAAGTACATTGTCCAACCTCCCTTCTGAGGAGTGGCTGATGGGTTTGAACCACCAGCCTTCTGGTTAGCAGCCAAATAAATGCCTTAGGCACTAATTTTAATTAACTGAAGCATTGACTTATTCAGTAAGTGATGTACTTCCCAATTTGCACTGCCCAATTTAAACCTGCATAGCAATCTGTTACTGGTGTTCTGCGTTCTTTATTTTTGACACTAGAAACCAGACCTCCCAACTCCAAGTCTTTCTACCATGCTATGTTGTTGTTGTTGTTATGTGCCATTGAGTCGGACCCGACTCATAGCGACCCCTCCTTGGGTTTCAGAGGCAGTATCACTACAGAAGTAGATTGCCCCATCTTCCTTCCGAGGAGTGGCTGGTGGATTTGAACCGCCAGTCTTCTGGTTAGCAGTCAAGTGCCTTAGCCACTATGCTACCAGAGCTCCCACCATGCTATAGGTCTATCAGATTTATCATTCTTAAATCAGAAAGACCTGGTTCAAAAATTCACTTTTCCATTTACTCACTGTAGTGGGTTGTATTGTGTCCCCTAAAGAGGTGTGTTCAAGTCTGCGGTTTAGTAAATTATATAGTGTGGCTTTTCTAGCCATAAGTCTTTGTAAACTCCATGGTGGAATTTGCCATGAGCAACTGAGGAGCTCCTGATTGTTAAAGTTATCCACCTGGGGTATTTTTGTTGAGAGTTGCATGAAGTAATTTTCTGGGAAGTTTGCTCTCGCTCTTAGGTGTATAGAATTTGATGTTGGGATTGATTAGTTTGGCCACTCTGCCAGTCTCAAAAGGAGCCCTCCTAGAGGCAGAAGGGGTCTCTCTGACTGCTGGCTGAGAAAGATATGCTGCTGAGAGAAACGTGCTCCTGAGAGACATGGGAGACACATGCTGCTGAGAGAGAGACACAAGAGACACACACTGCTGAGAGAGAGACATGAGAGACTTGCACTACTGAGAGAGTGATGTGCTACTGAGACTGCTGGCTGCTGAATGAGACTGCCAGCTGCAAGAGACTCAGTGCATTTCTGAACTTAAATTGTAGCCTGGTGCTTCCCTAATAAACCCTGTTATCTGTGAGTTGTGTGTGGTCCCTGCAGCGAATTATCGAACCCAGGAGAGAGGTGGTGGGGTGCTGCGGGAGGGACAGTTCGTGGAAGAGCTGGGAGGAGGCAGCATGTCTGGCCTCACAGGAAGAGGCCTTGGGCTATTGATGAAATTGGTGATTCTGTCTTCTTCTTGTGGAGTTAAACCCTGGAACCCAAGAATGTGGCCTTATTTGGAAATAGGGCCTCTGAAGGTAGAATCAAGTTAAAATGATGTCACAGATTAGGATAGGCCCTAAATCCAATGACTGTGTCTTTATAAGAGGAAGGAAAAGGACATTTAGGTATAGGGACACAGAATAGACACAGGGATGAAGACCATGTAGAGATGGAGGCAGAGATTGGAGTGATGTGACTACAAGCCAAGGAAGGCCAATGATTACCAGGAGCCAACAGAAGCTAGAAGAGTCAAAGAAGGATTCTTTTTCAGGCCCTGTGGAGGAAGCAAGACTTTAGATTTGTTGTCTCTAAAACTGTCAGAGAATAAATTTCTGTTGCTTTATGACATCCAGTTTGTGGAACTTTGTTATAGCAACCTAGGAAACTAATACACTTGCTATGTGATCTTCAGCAACCAAACCCAGAGCTTCCATTTCTTCAACTGTAAAATGGGACCAATGTACCTATTGTATCAGGATGATGTATAAGAAGCACAGGACCTGGGCTACATACTTAAGTGCCCAATTATTAAGTGCTATTACATGTTGATTATGATCTTCCTTGTGAGGCCAGACATGCTGCTTCCTCCCAGCTCTTCCACGAACTGTTCCTCCCGCAGCAAATGGTACAAATGATTAACACATTCTGGTGCTAACAAAAAGGTGGGGGGGAGTTCAAATCCACCCAGAAGCACCTCAGAAGAAAGGGCTGGTGACCTACTTCCAAAAATCAGCTATTAGAGATCCTATTGATTACAGTTCTACTCTGATACACATAGGATCCTCATGAGTTGGGATCCACTCAATGGCAACTGGTTTTTGTTTAATTATGTTCCTTCTGCAAGTGAATTGCATTTCATAAAGTATTTTTGGAAATTGTTAACATCTGTGACATTCTAAGACGGAGAACTAAACACACTGAAAGTATCTTAATTCACCTGCTTCTCTCCAGCAATTTTCAAGGATCTGCTGTCAGTCACACAGGATATACCTAAAGTAGAGCAGGCTGGAGAACAGTAGACACTCACTTGTTATGGTAATGAATGGTACCAGAGAGGGCTCGCACACAGATCCGACAACAGGTCAGGTGGACCAGTTCACTCAGCCAGTTTTTGAGGCTGAAATAAAAAGAAAACATTTGATTGTGCACTGCTGGCACTCCTAAGAAACAGTACACTGAACAATACGCTGTGCTCCATCACAGCAGCATACTGTGCTCTAACACACACACAGTTCAATTCTAATATCCTTGAGGCATTTAGTATTAAATGGCCAAAGTATACCAAGAGAATTGGACAAAAGTCTAATGGAAAGTAGCTCCCATGCTACTAAATTTATTATGATAAATTCATGACAAAGTTAAGCAGAAGCGTCTTTGGGCTCAGCCTTATGAACCCACCAATGCTATAAGACTCTCACTTTCCCTTGATCTCCTCTGTCTATTTTCTTTATTCTCTTCATTTCCCCTTTGAAATAAACACATCTTTCTCAATTTGTATGAAAGTACAACAGATAATCAAATAAACACTATGAAGGTGATGTGAGCAGGATTCTAATAAGTGAGTTGAGGTCATAAAGGTAATGCTGTATGTGGAATAAGATAAATCAGCTTATCACTGACTGACACAGCTAAGTAAACAGGCAGTGCTATTTATGGCTTGATGGAAGGAAACATCTCACCTGCCATCTGACAGCTGCCCAACCAGCGTAGTTCCTATAACGAGCAAACTAATCCCAATGAAAGCCAAGGTTACCCTGAAAAAGAAAATAAAAAGTAATGTAAATATTAGTTGTACAGTGGGGGAAAAAGCGAAATAACCTGAAAGTTCGTAAATAAGGAAACAGTAAATTGACTGTGGAACATGCACACTATGGAATACAATGCAGCCATTCAAAGAATTGGGAAAATCTACAGTAATGTCATCAAGAATGGAAGAATGTTCCATGATACATTTTAAGAGAAAGCAGAAAAATAAGTTTCAGAATAATACATAAGAGTATGATACCATTTTCAAAATAACAACAAACATGTGTACATATCTAATCACATAGGTATAGAAAAGGCCTGAAAGTTTGCCCACAAAACGACTGTCAAGTTCAATCTACGTAACCATCAAAACAGTAAAGAGCAGTACTGAAGGGAATAAAATAAAAAGTCTTTTCCTTCTTTTATGAATTATTTTAATTTTTCACATTATTAAATAGTAACTTATGTAATACTATAGGAAAAAAACTTTGTAATCTAAAAAAGAATAACTTCCAGTTCAACATATGCATTTTATTGTTTTGGTCTGTATACTTTGGTGTGATGTGGTATAGTTATAAAAAGAAATAATTTACAAAGGTCTGAAAATAATTCGCTTTTCTAAGTTTATTAATAAGGGGTCAAAGGAATAAAAATTCAAAATTTTCCCAAGGGAATTTAAATATGCAGTAAATTTCAAGAGAATTATACTTAAAGGCTCTTTCATAGTAAGAACCTCAAAATATGTCACCATATCAGAAATCCTTTCATGCAAATCTATTTTTCGTTGTTCAAGATAACTCAGAAATTAGCAAATAAAGTAACTGACAATCCTGGTAATCTCCAAATAGACACTTTCTCATTTTGAAGTGCTTTTAATATACACTTTAATGACTTCAAAAAGGAAATAGTAATTTTTAAAGATGCAAACAAAATTACTCAAAAAGAAAAGGTTAACATTTTAAATAAAAACAAATGGAATTTTGTTTAAAAAAAAAAGAGAGAAGAAAATTACATCTCACTAATAAGATTTTTGCAAACATTTTAGCTTGTAAAATGAGAGGAAGCAGAAATTAGCTCATTGCTGTCTCAGATTGAACTAGAGGCCTATCTATATCTTCCTAGTTTTCTGAGGGATGTTCCCTTATTTTGTGTAACAGTTGGGGTATTCAGAGCACCTGATGAAGAAAACAGTCATTGCAGTGTCAGAAGGACCCTTTGGGTTTGGGGAAGCTAAATTGGCTACTAAAGGTAATGGCCAGGAATAGGGGCCATTGTCAAACTGGTTTACTCTGAACATGTAACCATCTTTACCTCCTCCCCAGATACCTGGAGCAGTTTATGTTAGTCAATCTCCCATTTTTACATTAGATGATGATATAACAGAAACTTATACTCTGTCAAACAGTAGTCTAAGTGCTTTTCATGTCTAATTCTCTGGTGGTATAGTGCCTAAGGCATTTGACTGCTAAGCAGAAGGCTGGTGGTCAAACCCACCAGGCACTCCTGGGAAGTAAGGTTGGGCAATCTACTTCCATAGTGATACCACCTTGAAAACCCAAAGAGGGGTTGCTATAAGTCGATCCAACTCAATGGTGGTAAGTTTTTTTTTTTTGACTTGTCCTAAACATTTTATGAGACAGTAGTATTACCATCCTCATTCTATAGATGATGAAATTGAGGAATGTTGTTAGGTGTCATCGAGTCAGTTCTGACTCATAGCAACACTATGTACAACAGAACAAAAATAATGCCCAGTCCCGTGTCATACAATCTTAGCTATGCTTGAGCCCATTGTTGCAGCCACTGGGTCAATCCATCTCATTAAGGGTCTTCCTCTTTTTTCCTGTTCCTCCACTTTTTGTTATTGTTGTTGTCGTCATTAGATGCAGTCCAGTTGACTCTAACTCATGGCAATTCTATGTACAACAGAACCAAACAATGCCTGGTACTGAACCTTCCTCCTAATCCTTGCTACACTTGTGTCAATCCATCTTGTTGAGGGTCTTCCCTTTTTTCTCTGACCCTTCACTTCACCAAGCATGATATTCTTCTCGAGGGAATGGTCCCTCTGACAACATGGCCAAAGTAGGGAAGTTTGGCCATTCTTGCTTCCAAGGACCAATCTGGCTGCACTTGTTCCAGGGCAGATTTTGTTCCTTCTTCTGGCAGTCCATGGTATTTTCAGTATTCTTTGCCAACACCACAATTCAAAGGGTTCAATTTTTCTTCAATCTTCCTTATTCACTGTCCAGCTTTCACACACATATGAGGCACCCCCAAGAGGCAGGAAAGCAGGGGAAAGAGAAGCCAGGGGGATGACAGAGCAGAGCAGTGCCAGGGATCCAGGTAAGGGGTGGGACCCAGGCCCTACCTCCAAGAGCAGGAAAGCAGGGGAAAGAGAAGTCAGGGGGACAACAGAGTGAGCAGTGCCAGGGATCCAGATAAGGGGAAGGCAGAGAGGTTTTGAACAGCTAAGGGAGACAAACTTGTCTGTCAGTTAGTCCCACTGTGCTGGCTTACGTGTTGCTGTGAGGATTGGGGCTGTGCCAATGGTGTTTCAAATGCCAGCAGGGTTGCACATGGTGCACAGGTTTCAATGCAGTTTACAGACTGAGACAGACTAGGAAGAAGGAAGAGGCCATCCACTTCTCAAATTGGCCAGGGAAGCTCAATTGGCATAACATTACTACACAAAACATTGTTACACCTCCTACTTTGGTGAGCAGTGCCTGGAATCTTAAAAGCTAGCAAGCTGCCATCTAGATGCTCCTCATCCAGAGCAAAGAAGAATGAAGAAAACCAAAAATTCATGAAAACAATTAGTCCTAGCAACTGGTATACCATGCAATCTGCAGCCTATATGACTATGAGACCAGAAGAACCAGAAGGTGCCTGGCTACTACTGTCAACCACTTGGAAGGGGATCTATGTAGGAGATCCTGGATAGAGAGGGAGAACAATGTGGAACAAAACTCAAAATCATTTCGAGAAAAAAAAGGGGGGGGGGGACCAGGTTTGCTGGTCCAATAGAGCCTGGTGGAACCATTGAGACTATGGCCCCTGGCTGCCCTTCAGATCTGGAATTGAACCCACACATGTAGCTCCCAGCCAAGCAAAGGACACGCATATGAGTTGAACATTTACCTGAGGTGGATACACTCCTTGGAGAGAATAATCATGGGAGAAAGAGGGCCTGCTTATACACAGGGAGATGGCTTATGGGGGCAGGAGTGCATGGAGGGATGCACACAGGGAAGAGGTAACTGTCAGGAGGAAGTGGGAGAGGAGCTGTTACATTGTGGTAAATTGTGGTCAATGTCATGAGACAAAGTGTATGTGAATTGCTGTATGGAAAGTGAATTTTCTCTGTAAATTTTCACCCAAATCACACACACAAAAAAAAAAAGAATTGGCCAGGTAAAACCTTATGAACAGCAGAGAAACACTGTCTGATACATTACTATGCAACTTTATGAATAGTCCAGAAACATTGTCCTATACAGTGCAAGAGGACAAGCCCCTCAGGTAAGAAGGCTCTCAAAATATGGCTGGGAAAAAGCTGCATCATCAGAGTAGAACCAACCTTACTAATATGGATAAAGTAAAGCTTTTGAGACCTCCATTTACTGTTGTAGCATGACTCAAACTGAGGAGGAACAGCTGCAAAGATCCATTAATAATCAGGACCAGGCTATGTTTCATGTGCATAGGGTCTCTATGAGTCAGAGATGACTCAACAGCACCTAACAACAACAACATGAGGTGATTAAAAAATACCATGGCTAGGGTAGGTACACCTTAGTCTTCAAAGTTACATCATTGATCTTCAACACTTTGAAGAGGTCTTTTGCAGCAGATTTGCCCAGTGCAATACGATGTCTGATTTCTTGACTGCTGCTTCCATGGGTGTTGATTGTAGAGCCAAATAAAATGAAATCCCTGATAACTTCAATCTTTTCTCCATTTATTGTGATGTTGCTTATTGGTCCAGTTGTGAGGATTTTGTTTTCTTTATGTTGAGGTGTAATCAATACTGAAGACTAGTCTTTGATCTTCATTAGTAGGTGCTTCAAGTCTTCTTCACTTTCAGCAAGCAAAGTTGTGTCATCTGTATATTGCTTTTGGTTAATGAGTCTTCCTTCAATCCTGATGACACATTCTTCATATACTCCATCTTCTTGGATTATTTGCTCAGCACGCAGATTGAATAAATATGCTGAAAAAATAAACATGCTGAAAGGATACTACCCTGATGAGCACCTTTCCAGATTTTAAGCCATGCAGTATTCCCTTGTTCTGTTCAAATGACAGCCTCTTGGTCTGTGTACAGGTTTCTCATGAGTACAATTAAGTGTTCTGGAATTTCCTTTCTTTTCAACTTTATCCATAATTTGTTTACAGTCCACACAATCAAATGCTTTTGCATAGTCAATAAAACACAAGTAAGCATCTTTCTGGCATTCTTGGCTCTCAGCCAAGATCCATCTGACATCAGCAAAAATATCTTTCATTCCACATCTTCTTCTGAATCCTGCTTGCATTTCTGGAAGTTCCCTGTCAGTATACTGCTGTTGTTTTTGTTAGGTGCTGTCGAGCCATTTCTGACTCTGTGACATCATGTACAGCAGAAAGAAACACTGCCCAGTCCTATGCCAACCCCATGATCCCTGCTATACTTGAACTCCTCATTGGAGCCACTGTGTTAATCCATCTCGATGAGAGCCTTCCCCTTTTTCATTGTCCCTCCACTTTGCTGAGCATGATATCCTTTTCCAGGGAATGTTCCCTTCTTATAACATGACCAAAGTAGGTGAGATGAAGTTTGGCC